AAATTAATTCACAGATGGGCTCCTACCCACGACACGTATTAATGGCCAGTACACTTCTAGTAACTTTTGATGGAGAATAGCAAAACCTGTGCTCTGTACTCAGCAGTGTTTTAATGTGGGCATCACAAGCACATCTAGACATACTTTAAAAATAGCAATAAAAAGGATACAGCTCCAGGTGTGGGAGCGCACGCCTCTAATCCCAGGGACTTGGGAGGTGACACAGGAGGACTACAAGTTTGAGACCAGTCTCGGCAACTTAGCAAGGCCCTAAGCAAACTTAGTGAGATCCTGTCTCAGAATAAAAATAAAAAAGGGGTTTACTGGGGATGTGGCTCAGTAGTAAAGAATGGAATGCCCTGATTCCATCCCCAGAATGAATGAATGAATAAACAACAAACAAACGTATGCAGACAATAAGGCCCCAGAATAGGACAAAAATATACATATATATTGGCACTTGAACTGCAGATGGATCCTCAGATCGGGTCCCAGGGGCCCTTAGCATGGAAGCTACAGGTATAAAAGTCATAGAGCACCCCTGCTCTGGCTCCCCAGGGAGAGCAGCAGCTGAACATGGCAGTGTGCACAGAGGCACGCACACCCCACCCCACTAAGGCAGAGCTGGCACTAGAGGGACCACATGTGTCCATGTCATCCTCAAGACCTTCCAGAAGCCCTCCATCACATAACAGCACAACGAGGCTGAGGCCAGAACCTTCCAGCACCTTCTGAATCACTGAGTCCCTGAACTGGCTGCCTGTAAGGGTCTCTAGAAGCTTCTTAGAAATGCAGAGTGCTGTGTCCATCTCTGGGCAATGGGATGAGACTCTCTGGGGCTTGTATTATTTTGCCCAGGCATCACACAAAAGAAATCTGCATGTCGATCTCACATATGCACCCAAAGCCAAACCCCAAACACATTTGTCAATTTAAAGCACGTTGCAGCATTTCTTCTTGGAACCTGCTACAGTTGGACATTGTTTCTTTTCTGGGGGAAGCCTCACTCTAATTTCTTTGGTGTGGAAGATAAGTGTCAAGACACCAAGACATGGAGACCCGTTAAAGGGCTGCTCATCACTGGTCATCTCTCGGCCAGTGTGCGGTTTCTCCCTAGCCAGAATGTCCCTGACTCTAAACTGGTGGCTCATTGGTCCCTGAGCAGGCTGCAGAGGGCTTTGGCTGGAATGCACAGCAGACTCTGAGGGCCTGACAGGTGAGTGTAGGGCATTTGGGGGGCTTGGTTTTATCCGTTAAGCAGAACCCACAGGTCTGCCATGTCTGTCAGGACCTGAAGCTGTATCTTCCCACTAAGCAATAAGCAGGCACAGTCCCCAAGCTGAGCAGACAGGGAAATGGCAGCCCCACCCTATATAAAATGTGTGAATTTTATTATAGTCAAATTATCCCTCAACAAAGTTGATCATAAGTTATTATCCTAAAACTTCCAGACGTTTTATGAAAGCCTTTAGTGTGAAATAAAGAGATTAAGAAAGAAGTGAGCCCAAGGAAGAAGCAAGTGTTCATAAAATTAACACATTAAAAGAAAAGGGGGGGGGGGAGAAAAGATACATGAAGCAAAGAGAAATGTCTTCAAAAGCGAAAATCGGCATAGAAAAGAGCTCTTGAGAACAAACTTTTAAGAAAACAACAGTAAAGTGAAAAATTCAGTAGAAGGTTTGGAAGATAAATTTGAGGAACTTTCCAGAAAGTAGAGCAAAATGACAAAGAGGAAAATGGGAATGTCAAAAAGCAGCTCAGAAAACTGCACTCAGCCCACAGGTGGAGCGTGCCACCCTGTGGTGGAGCACTGGCCCAGCATCTGTGTGTCCTGGGCTCAATCCCCAGCACTGGACGGGTGGGGATGAAGACCAGAGGAGAACGCTCAAGTAACACAAGTCCCAAAACAGAGCAGAAAAAGCAGGAGGCGACGCCTTCACTGGATGACACAGCACCTCCGCAAGCCTAAGTGCAGGGGCGCAGCGCCTCCCACATTCTGAAAGAAAATCACTCTTAGCCCAGATTCTATCCCCAGCCAAACTGTCAACCAAACATGAAGGTAGAACAAGCCATTTTCAAAAAGAAACAGAGTAATCAACAATCAGCTGGACTCCCATTAAATTGTATCCTAGGAAACTACGGGAGCACATGTTCCCCCAAAAGAGAAGGCAGTCCAAACAAGAGGCAGGGATGGTAGGGGCGACAGGAAGCAGAAGAGCAACCTGGGAGAGAGAGGATGGGGACACCCAGGGCCACGATGCAGGGACAGTTGGGCACAGGTGTTGGGGGGAAGCAATGCAGTGCAGGTGGGTATGGCCAGGAGAGGCCTCCTCAGCATTGGAAGGCTGATGGAATACCTGCTGTGTCGGGGGATCTTGGGACTGATTTAGAAGACAGTCACAGTATTGAGGGTGAATAAATATAAGTAAATAGAAGAAAATAAACCCAGTGACTCGGAAAAAATAAGCACACGTGCGTGCGCGTGCACACACACAACACACTCAAAAAAGCCCATAGGAAATTATTAGCTCCATATGAAACGAATAAAAAGAAAGAAAAAGTAACTATAGTTCACTAAATGGCTTATTTCTGAATGCATAGTTCAATATGTAACATGGTTTCCTACCATAAAGAATAAACTCTGATCTGAGCAAGATTACCATGTGTGTTAGCCTGTTTTCTGTTGCTATAGCAAAGTACCTGAGGCTGGGTGATTGTTTGAGTCAGTTTTTTTTTTTTTTTTTTTGCTGCTGTGACTAAACGATCTGACCAAAACAATTATAGAGGAGAAAAAGCTTATATGGGGGTTCACAGTTTCAGAGGTCTCCATCCATGGACAGCCAGCTCCATTCTTTGGGGCTGAAGGTGAGGCTAACATCAAGGCAGAAGAGTGTGGCAGAGGGAAGCAGCTCACATGATGATCAGGAAGCAGGGAGAGAGGTCACTCGCCAGATGCAAATTACCCCCCCAGGGACCCACCTCCTCCAGCCACACACTATCCGTCTTCAAGTGCCACTCAGTTAATCCCATTGGGATTAACCCACCGATTGGGTTAAGGATCTCAGAACCCAATAATTTCTCCTCTGAACCTTCTAGGATTGTCTGACCCGTGAGCTTTTGGGGGACACCTCACATCCAAACCACAATGGTTATGTGTAAGGAAGGAGTTGACTCTTGGTTCTGAAAGCTGGGAGCCCAAGGGCCTGGTGCTGGCAGGGGCCTGGTGCTGGGTGAAGTCCTGGTGGAGTGGAAGGGCCAGTGGGTATCTATCTGCTGGGGAGGAAAGCACGAGGGCAGCTGGGCTTTATAGCAACTGTTCTTGCAGTAGTTAATCTAGTGGGTTTTTTTAAAATATTTTTTTTAGTTGTTGATAGACCTTTATTTATTATTTATTTATATGTGATGCTGAGAATCAAACCCAGTGCCTCACACATACCAGGGGAGTGTGAGCCCAGCCCCAATCCCCATTAATCCAGTTTTGAGAGAGCAAGAACTCTCTCCCTCCAGAAAGGCACGAACCCCTCTTAGTGACCTAATCACCCTCTTAAGTTCCTGCCACCTTTCAGCACCAGAATCAACCACAGGACATGTAACCTAACGGGAGAGTGGAGGGAGGGGAGTGAAAGCAGAGGGGCAGAGATGTAAGAGAACTACCTTATTAAAAAATGCAAGAAGCAGCTGGGTGTGGTGGTGCACGCTGCAAACCCAGGGACTCTGGGGGCTGAGGTAGGAGATCACAGTTTGCGGTCAACCTGGGCAAATTAGCAAGACCCTGTGTCCAAAAAAGGGGATGAAAGTGCTGGGGATGTTTCCCAGTGGTAAAGAACCTCTGAGTTCAAACCAAAAACAACCAAACAAGCTAAACTAAAAAAATTGAAGCTCCTACACTTGTTTATGTCTACAGGCAAACACCAAAATGATCAGCCCCAAAAGATGAAAGAGGATGTGGTTTTGTATTAAATATTTGAACTCTTTAAGCCATGATCCAACCGTATCTAAGCTTGATAAAAGTAAAAATTTTTTAATTGCTAACAAAGATGAAAAGAGTACACTGGATGTAAAGGAGTGGACGGCTGTTAGATGACGAGCGGTTGGGTAGCATATACAGCATGGATACACTGGACGAAGGCAAGATGGAGGATAGCTCAAGTTTCCATCATGCTGTGCAGAACAGCACATGCTTTAACACTTATGAATCATGGAGTTTTCTATGGCAAGTGAAATCATGGGAAGTCAAACTATTGAAAAGGGAAGACAGCTGTATACACTGTGGAAGACACAGCAGGAGCAGAGTCGGCCCTGGAGATGGGGGGTGGGAAGTGTGTTGGGAGGAAGCCTGAAGTCCCCAAGTGGAGAGCAGTGGCCTCAGGTGGGTGAAGGGACATGAGGTGACCCGGGGGGTGGAAGTAGGTTTGTAGAGGGGAGGGAGGGGGAAGAAGAAGGGAACCAGGAAAGGCCAAGGCAATGGGGAAATTTCTCTGATGGAAAACTGCTTTAATTTCTCTCTCTCTCTCTCTCTCTCTCTCTCTCTCTCTCTCTCTCTCTCTCTCTCTCTCTCTCTTTTTTAGTTTTTATTTTTTTGGAGTAGAAGGCAAATTACTCCCTGTTCCAGAGGGAGTGACAGCAGGTTCTGGGGAGGAGGTTTCACTTGTCAGTTAGCGGCCATGTGCCCCAGGCCCCAGAGTGCTCTTTACACCCCTGGTGGAAGGACAGAGCTGGCCCTCCTTGATGGGGGGAAGCAAGGGTCTGTACCTTGGGCAGGTGCAGGAGAGCCACCTCTCCTGGACCTTGTGCTGGCCCGAGGGCTGAGGTGGAGCCCCATGAGGACCAAGGCCACACAGAAACCAGGACCCTGAGACCGCGGTTGCCTGTGGTGCAGGACAGCCCAAGGAAGGACCAGGTTCTTCTACCCCTGCTTGTCCCTTGCCCCTCTCGCTGCTGCTGGACACCTTGCCACAGACTTCCGGTGGCTTCCGCAGCCACATGTGCTCTTCCCACAGCTCTCTGGAAACACCTCACGTGGAGCTGGCCTAAGCCAGCCAGAGCTCCTGACTGCTGCTCAGAGGCCATCGGAGAGATACGGACTCCTCCTCCCGTCCTGGCAAGAGGAATGTTCACACAGAGATGGAAGATGCTGGGCAGGAAAGGGGGAGCCCGGAGCTGACGGGCCTCTGCCGAAACCTGGTATCCTGGGCCCAGACCTGGCCACTGTCAGGCTTGCAAGCCCAGAAGGTCAAAGGCTGGAATTCCATCCAAACCAAAGGGCACCCAGAACAGTCCAGGTGATTGTCTTCTGCCCAGGTCACACTCGGGTCCTCGCAGGTGGTGATCACTGGCCCTGTTTGGGGTGGTTGGAACTCAGCACTTGGTGAAGGTGGTTTTCTGTCTTCTAGATCTCCAAGTTCCTGTTCTGGTGGCCGCACGTCACCACGAGATTCTGCCTCCCCGATTTTCAAGGGTCTCTGGCTAAAATGTCAGTGTCTTTGGGAACAGTCACCCTTTCGAGTCTCCAGGGGAATCTGGAGCAGCTGAGGGTCTGAATCCAGCCTGAGCTAGGGACCAGGGTGCAGATGGGGCACTGTGGGAACTCTGGTGCCTAAGTCTGCGTGACACCTGAGCCTGGCCGCCTGGCCTGGGTGAGGCCTGGCGTCGGCCTTGGCGGTGGCCCTGGCTAGCTGTGATTCAGCTCCAAGGAACCTGCTTCCTCGTCTGCAGCGTGGAAAGATAGCAGCGTCCACACAGTAGAATACCTTTGAGAGGTCACAGAGAATTCGGGCAGCATTCCTGGTGCCCGTCCTGCTGAGAACGCCCGTCAGTCATCTAGAGCTCAAGTTTAACACAGAAGGCAGCGGCCAGCGGATGGAGGGGGCAGGAGGGGCCCCACAAGGAGAGCTTGGCAGTGACCTCTGTCCCTCCAGAGCCCCTCTCCTGCCGCCTTCCTACAGAGGCCAGAAACCTCTATCCCATCTGCAGGGCCTGGGCATGGGGGAGAGTATCGTGGGAGACCCACATGCCTCTGTGGGCACCAGGACAGAACGTGGCCCGCTCCACTGACTGGGCGAAAGGTAGGCCAGGTGCCATGGGGCACTGTGCTGAGGCTGGCGGGCATTCCTGTCACTGTTTGCCTGAGGTGGGGGCCCAGGCAGAGGCTGGAGGCCCCAACCCCAACTGCAGATGGGGAGAAGTCAGAGAAAATATGCTACCTGTCCACCTGCACCTCCCCCGCGGGTCATCCCTCCCTGGCTGTGGGGACAGGAATGAGTCACAGGATGGGCCCTTGGGCCAACTCACTTCCTGTCCCCCGGCCACAGCCCGTCTGGGGGCTGCAGAGCTCCCGAGTCCTTCCAGACTCGCTCTGTCCTGTGGGGGTGGGTGGGAGAAGAACTGGAGAATGGCAGGGACCCTGGGGGGTGGGGCTTGCAAGATAGGGAAAGAGCATGAGGGACCCAGAGCCCCAGGAGGAGGACAGGTGTGAGTCAGCTCCTGGAGGAGGGGGCACGTAGGCGGGGCCGGGTATAAGCTGGGCAGCCCTTTGTCACCGTCATCATCATCAAGACACACACGACGAGGTACCAAGCGGGGTGACTTGTGCTTTCTGCTTGGGAACAGCCATGGCCCTCACTGCAGCCACTGCTATCACCAGCGCTCACCCCGGAAATTGGAGGCCATGAGGGCCAGACTGCCACAAGCCACAGACTCCAAAGTCACAGCCAGCGAGCCCCCAGGGGCTCTTCCCGCGCCCTGGCCTGTCCTTGGTGTGGCCGCTAGCTGGTCCAGCTCAGCCCCTGGCCTCTCTTCCACCTTGGTGCACAAAGCCCTGGGGTGGTAAAGCAGGAGGCCAGCAGGGGCCAGAGGAAGAGGGGTGTGGCTGGCAGAGGAGGGAGCCTGGCCCGTCCGGGGCTGAGTGCCCGCTGGAGCTGTCCGGCTGGTGTTCCGGGTGACTCTGTTGTCCTCTGGGGGCCTGGGCTCCCTCATCTGTAGCCCCCCCACCCTCCCTGCGCTACCCCCCCCCCACCGTGAGTGATGCTACTCAGGCTGAGGAGACCCCAGGTCTGGCCCACTGTCCTTGATGCACTCAGGCCTTCACCTGCACCCCCCCTTGGTGGCCAGCGGGCTTTGCAGGAATGGCCTCCTTCCCGAGGGAGGGACGAGAGCCTGGCTAACCAGGCAGGGCTATTTTAAAGGAAGTCACGGCCAACCGGAGAGCAAAGTCTCCATCTGAGTTTATGACAGGATGACAGGAGGGCGGTCAGCCATCGTCTGCTGGGCTAGAAACTTCAGGACCCTTCCAGATCTTTCCATAACCGCAGCTGGGGCTTCCTGAGCCTCCCTTGGTCTCGGGGTCCTACCTCAACCAAGTTCTCCAGCCGTCCAACAGCCTGGGGGCAGGGTGGGTGTTCTGCAGTGGAGGGGACAGAGGCCACTCGCCTGGGCCAGCTGGGGGGTGGGCTGTGCCTCGGCCACTCAGTTTACAAAACCTGGTGGAGTTTAGCCCACCTTTGGGTCCAGCCTGCTGGCCATCCCTGCCACTGCCCAGGCCCATGGCCACACCAGGGAGACCCTGCCACTGCCAGCACGCAGCCCCACGGGTTTGCTCCCGGGTGAGAGCCAAGCACAGCGCTGCTTTCAGGGTCAGCGCAGGCTTCATAAGCTCCTGAGGCAACTCTCAGTACTGGTGAAGTCAGGGTTGTGCATGTGACATGTCTGGGCACAGGGACCCTACTGAGATCTTAGGCATGGCAGGCCATTGGAACTGGAATCCATACCTTTCTTCTATGTGACTTTGGGCAAGTCTCTCAACCTCTCTGTGCCTTAGAATCTTTGTGTAAATGGTATAGACCTGCACGGGACCCTGCGATAGTTTGGATCTTGAATGTCCCCCACAGGCCATGAGTTGAAAGCTTACTCTCCAGTCCATAGTGCTTTTGGGAGGTGGCAGAACCTTTAGAAGGTAGGCCTCGTGGAAGGAGTTAGATCACTGGAGTGTGCCCTTGGAGTGGGTATTGGAATGCTTATCCCTTTCTTTCTCTTTTGGCTTTCCAGTTGCCAAAGGGCCTCCTCTGCCAAGCCCTCCCACCATGATGCACTGGGCTCCCACAGGCCCAGAGCAACAGGGCCAAGCGACCGTGGACTGAAACCTCCGCAACCACGAACCAAGATAAACCTTTTCTCTGATTGAGTTGATTATCTCAGGTATTTTGTGATATGACGGAAAGCTGACTCATGGGACCCATGATGTTGTCTTGGGGATTAAACGAAGAAGTGCTGAGAGCAGCAGGGGGACCCAGTGGCACTGCCTATGTCCTAGCAGGTGCCTGTTGAACGTGTGCTGCTCAAGGAAGCCCAGCACTCCCCAGGTGTCACCCAGGGAGCCGGGCACCTATGAAAGAGGGTCCTAGCTCAGAGCCAGTGTCTGCCTGAGGCGTGCCAGCTCCTTCAGGCTGTGAAGCTGGACACTGTGGGGACAGAACGAAGGCCTTGAACCAGGCAGAGAGTGGGGAGAATCACTGTCAATCTGTTTTTCCAAATTGCGCTATTTCAAATGCCCTGGGCAGATGCCCACGTGTGCGGGGTCACTCAGCTGGGCCAGAGGCCCTTTGTCTCCTTGAAAGGCCCCATTGTGACCCCACACCATCCCCAACTGCTTCTTGGAACAAGAGGCCCTTGTGTGGGCCCTGCAGGCCAGCTCCTCTGGCCCTCGGCTGGCAGCGGGGATTCTGTCCCTGTGGGGTTGTTGCAGGGCGCCGTCCACCTCCACCTCCAATAAGAGCCAGTGTTTCGTCAGGTTCTAGAACGTGGAGGAAGCCCTACTTCCCCAGAAGTGGGTCTTCTACAGAGGGGCAGATGCCCTGGGGACGAACTAGGAGAGGACAGGTGGGGAGGTTGGCTTCCAGAGAAGGTGGGCAGCATGGGACCCTCTGGGCCACCCTGCCCTGAGGGGAAGGTCACCAGGAGGATGCCCCCAGGAGGTGCCCCTGAGCCTCCAGGAGCAAGGTGAACATTCAGTGCCCTGTTGGAGTTGACCCACAGCGGCCTACCCGGGGGCCTCCTGGGCTGCACTCTCCCCGTGGGAGCCCCAGGGAGTGGCGTGAGGGCCCCAGAAGGCAGCAGGGACGGCCTGGGTGGCTCTCTGGGCTGAGTCCAGCCAGAGCACTGTCCACGGGATCCAGAGGCCCAGCTCCACCCCTGAGGTCCCTGCCAGCTGGCCACTCCACTGGGCATCTGCTATCCCGTCCCTTCCCACTGAGCCCCGGCTCCATCTGGTCCGCAAGCTTCGGCTCTTGGTCACATCAGGGACAAGAGTCCCTCCATCCTTTCTCAGGCCCGGGGAAAGGTGAGCTCTGCTCTGGGGGCCTAGGAAGCCTCAGGTCCCTCCCCTTGGCAAGGTACGTGCTGGGCCGGGCAGGCCTCTGGCTCTCCGAGGAGAGCCCAGGGGCTGCCTGACGGGGCACTGTCATGGCCCCGCTCTCGAAAAGAAGACGGAGTCCAAGGCCCACGCACCCCCGCCTGTGAGGCCCTGGTCGAGGTCGGGGCTGTCCCTCTGCCCACACAGGCAGGTGCCCGTGCCACGTGCATGTCCACCAGAGGTGCTCACGGTGGCTTCTCCCTTTTTCTCTCCCCTTCAGCCCTGGGGATTGAACCCAGGGCTCTCCCTGAACTCCATCGCCAGCCCTTTTTATTCTTCAAGTTGAGACAGGCTCTCACTAAGTGGCAGCGGCTTCCAACATGTGATCCTCTGTCTCTGTGTCCCAAGTCCCTGGTGTGTGCCACCGCACTGACTTCATTGTCGTCACTTCTTGAGAGGCCAGTAGGTCAGATCTGCATAAGGACAGATCTGGGAGTAATCAGGGCCCCAAGGCCAGAAGGGGCTGCCCAAGGCCCCCATGCAAAGAGGCCTGGGCACCAGATCCACCCCTTCCTGGAGGGGCCAAGGGAGCCAGCGTCAGGGGCTCAGCCATAGCTCAGTCTCTGGGGTCTGGGTGCCTTTGCTCTTGCCCAGTGGGTTCCTTGAATGTCCTCCCTCGTCACCCCTGGCTCCCCAGGCATCATGGGTTCTCAGAGGAGTGGTGCCCTGAGCAGGCAGGACTGCCACTCAGCGGACACTTGCACCTGCAGACACCAAACAGCTGGGTACAGACAGCTGCGAGCTGGTGCAGGAGCTGAGGGGCACCGGGTGGGTTGGTTAGAGGGGCAGGAGAAGGGCAGCAAGACCTGGGGAGGGCATTCGGGGGCCTGAGGAAACCACACCTGCCCCATTCACACCCAATTCCAGTAGGATGCAATTCAGGGGCTGAGGTCACGGCTCAGTGGTGGAGCACTTGCCTGGCCCGTGTGAGGCACTGGCTTTGATCCTCAGCACCACAGTAAGATAACACACAAAAAGAAAGATCCATCTATACTGAAAAGTATTTAAAAAAAAAATCGGATGCAACTCAAATGGGAAATGAGTTGCAGATTTCTAAATGGTCTCGGGACAGAAGGGACAGGAAGCTGTATCAGACTCGTCAGCAAAGCCGTGGACTAGTAAGGGCTTTATCATTAGCAAAAATGAGAAAGGTCCTATGAAAGTTTATTTAAATGATTAAAAAAATTTAACTTTGGGAAATTCAATTCAACCTTCTTGCCTCCCTCCCTTCCATAATGCAAAGGAGCCTCGCTTGCACCAAGTTCTGGGGTAAGCGCCCTGCAGAGGGCAGTTTTGAGACTTCCCTCCATCGACACTGAATGACAAATTTTGTAAACACATGACAAACCCCTATTATTTCGTAATTTGTAGTTTAGTTTTGCTTTTTAGCTACAGCCCCTGCCAAGCCTGTTGCTCATGGTTTACTATGAAATTTCGGTTATGTTCAGTGGACTTGTCGCAAGTGGCTAGATTTTGATACCAGTGACCCAGATTTTTGATACCAGTGACCCTGGAATGTCACTCATTCTTGAGCCACGGGATCAAGGGGACTCAGAACAGGGGCTGGGCTTCCAGATTCCCAACTTAGGGACCTTTGTCTACTTACAGCCTGGACAGCTAACACCAGAAACCCAGTGTCCACCGGTTGTCTCTGCTTCCTTCCACTCTGCAGCCGGGTCCCCTTTCTCCCCAGCGACATTCTAAAACCAGTTGATTATCCATGTCACCAGGGAACACAGAACAGACCACACAGCTCAAAACAGTTCGGATCAGCTTTACAAAAAGTGAGAGGAAACATCTGTACCTAGTTTTCTTTGGGTTTAAGGAATTTTTTTCTTTCTTTCTGTTTTTTTTTTTTTTTTGTACCAGGGATTGAACCCTGGGGCACTAACCCACTGGGCCACACCCCAGCCCTTTCTTGTATTTCATTTAGAGCCAGGGTCTCACTGAGTTGCTTAGCGCCTCACTGAGCTGCTGAAGCTGTATTTGCGATCCTCCTGCCTCAGCCTCTGAAGCCACTGGGACTACCAGTGGGTGCCACCACGCTGGGCGGTTTAAGGGAATTCTAACTGAGCACAGACTAGACTACTGGGGGGAATGGCTGGGGCCCAGGCTGGCACTTGGCGAGTTTCCCGGGAGGGGATGCCATCCGGGCAGTAGATTCTGGGAGGGTGAGGGCAGTGGCTGAGCGTGCATGATGTCATCTGACTGTCACTGAGGCTGCCTCCTAATTAAGTCAAAGGTCCTCAGAAGGCTGCCAGGAGCGGGCTCCCAGCACGGGGCAATTCAAAACCAAACCCCCAGCACAGCCACAGAGGGACTATACACATGGGCACTTTATAAAGTCTTTCAGAGGGTTCTCATCTTCTGCTGTGGCATTTGGAAATGTCTTTCAGGTGAGTTTCAGTTCCTACGACGCTTAGAAGCACCCCATGAAATGGGTCTCCACGGAGCCCGTGGGAGCTCCCATCTGCTGTTCTCAAGACCCAGCCCAGGGGCCAGCAAGGGATGCTGTGGTCTTCTGAGGTCACGCTCCCCGTGTCCCACCCCACAGGCCCCCCCAAGACAGGAAGAGGCCCTGGACAGCTCAGCACTGCAGGTTAGCAGCCAGTCCCTGCCCTGGTGGAAAGGTCAATGGGAAGGTCAACATGATACCCGTGGGAAAGTGTTGCTTTTTTTTTTTCTCTTCTTTTTGCCCCGTTGAGAGCATCTCTGCCTTCTAGAAAGTTACGCTGAAGGATGGGCTGATCCGCCAACACCTCTGGGTTTTCAGCTCAAGTCTGGCTGCTTTATGACGACTTCCACCTAATTAAAGAGAACACGGCGTGGACCACGTAGAGCAGCGTGGCGACATAGGAGAACACCTGGAACCCAGAGAGAGCCCCATTAGTGTTGGGGGTGGGGGGCAGGCAGGGAGGCCCACGGGTCCACGCTGCCTGGAGCACCACATGGCCCTTGGGCTGCCACTGCCCGTCACTCATGCACACACCCTTTCCTGGGTAGCCCAGGTGCATCCCTAATCCTCTCCCCACACAGCCCCAGGGGACCTGACTCAAGATCCCTGGGTCCTAGAATGCAAGATGAAACCACCAACTTCACCCAACGTCCAGGTGTGGTCAGCTGACTTGAAATGGGAACACTGAGGGCCCCTGCAAGGAAAGCATCCAGGCAGGTGTCAATGACTCAGTGGAAACTGCCCCCCTCCCCCTCACAGGCACCCAAGATAGCGGCCACCAGCGATGGTGGTGGCTGAGCTATGAGATCTGAGACATGGGCCTGCTGGCCCTCGCTGGGGTCTCCAAGCTCCTGGACATCCTGACCCCTGTTGGACTCTTATCCTGGGATCCATCATTGCCCAGGCAAGGGTGAAGGTCAGGGTCCATGGGAAGTACGGGTCAGGGAAGGTAAGGAGGATGTCTAGCTTTTGTCAAAAAGAAGGGGCTCCCTAAGAAAGCTGTGGCAATTGCTTACAGTGAATCAAAATGCATTCTGCTGCCATATATAACTGATTAAAATGACTTAATTAATCAATTAAAAATAATAAAGCTGTGAGAGGATGCAGAATGGACCTGGTGTAACCCTACTCGAGTGAAGTTTAAAGGCAGTTTGTCACTGGGAACAACGGCCCTGGGGTGGTGGCAATGGTCACTGGTGACTTGCATGTCACTTGGGCACTGCCTGCTCCTGTCGCCCTCCTTCCTAAGGCTCACCTGCCCCCAAATTCAATCTCTGCACCTGTTTTTTTGACCTTGGGCAGGGGCCAAGGGTTTCCAGCCCAAGCACAACACTTAGGGTGGCCACGCTTCTGTGACTCTTGAAAAATGCCATAAACAGCAGCCATCAGGGTGCCCGCTCTCACCCTGCCCCCACGCTTGGGCAAGCTCTCCCCCCGCTGGCCAGAGGCGATGAGTAAGCCAAGTTACTTAATAACAAGCCTAAGAGAATTCATCTCGGCACTCCTGGGTCTGAAGGGCGCGGTCACACCCGAGTGAGCAGCCCCGAAACCCCCCTGTGCCCATCGGGTGACACTCCCAGGCCATAGAGGCCCTTGGGCACAAGCCCAGCAGAAGTCCCCACTGTAACAGGAAATAGAAACTGTTTTGCAAATGGGGTGAAGAATGGCACGCTGAGGGCAGTTAGAGCCGGGACATGCAGGGATGGGTTCTGGCTTCAGATACCCTGCCATTATAAGAAACCTCCAGATTTCTCTAGAAATCTCCGGGTCTCTGCAGGCAGCTTCCTCCAATCCTGTTGGGCAAGGAGGTTCTGCCACCACCAAACAAGATGGGAAAGAGGCTCAGGTTCTGAGACACATCCCAACCAGGAACCACACAGAAGCCTCAAGACAGGCCAGAAGCCTTCAAAGTGAGAAAGGCTTGGAGACCCCTCCCCTGGCCCCCACATGCCCTGCAATGGCCACCCCAAGACCACCTGAGGGGCATGCTATGGCTGAGAGGAGTCTGGGGTTAAATCCTGAGGAATGATGACTCCCTCTGCCCCATGTCCTGATCCAGTGGATGTTTTTAGTGGATCTCATGACTGCGTGGAACCTGGTTTGCATTTACCTTAATGATTTTGGTTCAGTGCATCTGCCTGCTGAGAACATTTGGATCTTGATTCTAGCACTCTTGACTTTACCTGGGCATGCTCATGACTATCCCACTCCACTAACAAAATGTGGGACATAAGCAAACATGGAATGGAGAAATGTCACTAAATACTAAATATTTATACTAAATACTAAACTGCAGTGAAAATAAACAATACACATCTATACTTGACCACAAGATGAATCTCACAAGTACCAGGTTGAGAGAAAGAAGCCAGTCATAAAAGAATGGACCTGGTGTAACCCTACTCGAGTGAAGTTTAAAGGCAGGCAAAACTGAATTGGGTGCTAGAAATCAGAAGCTGACAGGTGGCGGAGTTGCACAGTGGTAGTGGTAGGACAAGAGAGGTATTTCTGGAAGCTCTTTATTTACTGAGTCCTATTTCTCCATCTGGACGCTAGCTGCACAGGGAATCTCACTTTCTGAAAATTCAGGCTGTACACTTGTGGCCTGTGCACTTCTCTGAGTGTACACTGCCTTTCGATGAAAAGGAAAAGTCACAATACAGCACAATCCACTAGAGCCCAGTGGTTCTCAACTAGAGACCTGCCCGGGCACTTATCCGCCCCACCTGGACTTTTCCATCAAGCACAGACCCACCAACCATAATCCATCTATGTTTTGCTACCACAGTCTGCAACAATTTTATGGGAACTGCCAAATGCTTTGCTGATGTCTGTTGAGAGAGCGGCTTCTGGGATTGGATAGGGAGAGGTAGAGGTGCCCCCGAGACAGAGAGAAGAATCAGAGTGGTCTGAGGGATGACGGTGGAGATGGTGGACCACCGTTTCAGGGAGGGAAGAGCAACCAGGCTTCTGGCTGGCTGTGCTACTGCTCAGAAACTGGCCATGTGGGGAGACGTCCCCACACTGAGGGACACTTCAGGGGGTGTCAGGGACCCCGAGGTGGCCATGATTAGAGAAGTGGCTGTAAGCTGGCAGTTTATCGGGAGAAAGGGTCTGGCCCACAGGGATGAGGCTATGAGGGACTTTTTCACCAGACCCCATCCCAAAGCTGGCCACTGCCCATCCCCATGGGCTGCTCTCTGCCTCTGCCCTGCCCCTTCCTAAAGGAGGAAGAGCCTGTCTGGCCACCAGAGCAGCTATCTGTGGGCTACTACCATATTTCGCACCAGGATCTGCATGACATGGGTTGACTTCTTAGAAATCTGAGGAGCTCTTTCTCTGGAACCCGTTCTGGTTTTGCACTGTACCCATGGAGCACACATGCTGGGTGGCTGCCTGCTGGGTCAGGGTGGCCAGGCCTGGGGAGTCCGAGCTCCTGAGGTTCTGTGTGCACCATCTGTGCCTGCACCAGCACCCCATCTTTGGGAACACAGTCAGAAGCACTGGGCTTTCTGTGGACAGTGCAAGTTGTTACACAGCAGCTGAACCCGGCCTAACACTTCCCACGCAGCCTGATGTGCTGGACATGCCGATTCAAACCCATCCTGATCCTCCACTCCAGTACGAAGCCAGCGTAGGCGTGAGAGCACCGAGCTATGGTGCTGATCCCAGAGAGCCAGGCATTCCCTCTCCCACACCACCAGTGGCTTCCGCCCAGGTCTCCCATAGCAGCCAAGAATTCAGTTTGTTATATGGAGCCTGATCTGAGAGAGCAGCCCGCCCCCCAGGAGGCAGGGAGCAGCTGCTCTTCACATCAACCCAGTCGTAGGCCGGGGAAGTGGAAGAGGAGGGCTGGCCAGGCGCTGAACAGATGAGGTACAAATGCACTCGCTCTCAGGATATGCACAAACAGGTGGATGCCATCGGCTGAGGACGCTGCCGTCCTGTCTGGCAGCCGACCCACCCAGCACCTCCCGCGGTGGGTCAGCTGCCTCTCATGGCCCACAGAGTTCCGAGGGTGAGGAAGTGCACCGTGTTCATTGGTAAGCGCAGCAGTCACTCACCGAAACCTGACTGACAGGTGGCCAGGACTGGTCCACTCCTCCCATGCCCTCTGCCGCTGTGGACGAGAGTCCCCTCCCTAGAGAAAGTGCCGTGTGCTGGTCCGACCAGTGAGAATGGCAGTAGTTTAGGAAGAAATAGCAAGGACTGGCACACTTGTAATCCGACATGTCAGGATGGAACCAGTGGCACTGAAGCCATTCTAAAAGCCGATCACTGAAAACAGACTCCAAAGTCGAGGAGCAAAGGTGTCTGCTCTCAAGAGAGGATCTGGGGACAGAGGTGGACTGATCTCGTCCAGAGAATCGCATGTCTTTCCTCTGCATCTCGTAGGTACAGAATTTCAGTCTAAGATCAGACTCTCATTTTGAATCTCTCAAAAGTGCACGATTCACAATTCACAGTCACATGGAGGAGCCCTCCTCCCAGATGTGCAGGGAAAAGTCCAATTTAAGTGTCATGCCAGGGACAAAGAAAAGGCCTACCAGACCGGCAATTTCCATCGTTTACTAAGAGCCATTGGTGCAAATGTGCAGTCTGCAGCACTCGGTGGCATGCCCGGCGTGAGTTAGGCGGACTTCAAGACCAGCCACTACGGAGCGAGCAACTTTGTACACAGCTCTTCCCAACAAAAAGGAGGGTTTGCAAGACGGGCTTGCAGAAGCCTCCCGCCTCTGAGGATTCTAAATGCAGAAGGAGGCTCCTGTGGAGGAGGAGGCCCTCCCACACTTCCTCCTGGGCTTTTGTGCATGGCCGTCAGTCACGTCTCGCAGCCACCAGCATTCTTGCCTTCTGTCCTCCTTCCTCGTGCAGGTGTCCCCCCTGGACTTCACATAGGGTGGCTCAAGTCCCTCTAGGAGAGAGCCCATCCCTACCAGAATCTGGTGCGGAAGACGCTATGTGACCCTGTTAATGTGAGGAGGTCTCCTGTGATGGCATAGGTGTCCCTGAAGAGCTCCTGTGTGAGACAGGGCAAGAACTCTCAGAGGTGGAATGATCAGTGGTTGGTCCCCTGACCCCACAGCTGTGGGCAGGAAGGCTGTGGCTGGAGGAGGGGTCCCTGGAAAGGCGCCTTTGGGGTCTCTATCTAGTGCCTGGTGAGCACACTGCCTCTGCTTCCTGGGGCCCTGTCCTGAGCTGCCGTCCTCCTCCACACCGTGGTGCCTGCCTCACCTGGGCCTGACCACGGACTGAAGCTCAGAACCAGGAGCCAAAGCGGATTCCCTCCTCTGACGGCTCGGTCAGGACTTCCGGTCACAGAGGTGCGAAGTTGACTCTAACCGCCCTCAAGAGCTCTAGGGAAGGACAGGTCACGCCATCCTGGAGAACTCTTCCTCAGATGTTGCTGGGGTCTCCTGCAGCCGTGACAGTGCCCTGCAGAGGACGCCTCTGTTAAGGGCGGAGAGGGGCGGCTCCTCAGGAGGAGCCACCAGGACCTGCCCTTCTCTCTGCCCATCAGCCAGTACATATCTGGCTCTTACGCGGGTTCAGCTGGTGTTTTAGAAGAGGAAAAGTGTATTTAGAGGCTCTCATCCATAGACAGCCGACTCATCCTCAGGGCTTGAGTGAGGCAGAATATCACGGCAGAAGCGTGTGGCAGAGGGAAGCGGCTCACAGGGTGATCGGGAAGCAGAGAGACAGTCCACTCACCAGATACAAATGTATCCCAACGCCACGTCCCCAATGCCCACTCCTCCAGCCACACCCCACTGCCCTCAGTCACCACTCAATCCCATCAGGTGACTAATTCACTGATTCATCCACCGACAAAATTCAATCGTTTTTTCTCTGAACCCTCTTGCACAGTCTCGCATGTGTGTTTTGGGGGGACACCTCTCATCCACACCATAACGTTGGGTCTGTCCACATTTTGTGAGACTCAGAGGCTCTGCCTCAAATGCAGCTCTGTGTCAAGTCAGCAGACCAAGTGGGAAAGGCGGTCACACGGTGGAATCCAGGGATGGGAGGCCACACGTGGGCTGCCAAACCAACACACAGGCTCTGAAGACCACGCTGGTCCACACGTTGCCAATCCGCACCTGCCTGT